TGGTTAGACAGTGTTATCGATGTAATGAACAGGAAATTAAGCAAACTCCGGAGCACCACGGAAGGCAGGAGGGCCTGGCGCGATGTGGTCCATGGGGTCGTGAAGAGTCGGACGTGACTGGGCTACTGAACAACAACAACAACAAACCTCACTGTGTGTGGGTTAAGTGCCATCAAATCATTTCTGAGTTATGACGACCCTACAAATTAATGTCCTCACAAATGTCCTGTTGTTAACAGCCATTCTCAGGTCTTGCAAACTGAAAACCATGGCTTTCTTGACTGATTTCCTGTTGGGTCCTCCTCTTTTCCTGCTGCCTTAAACTTTTCCTAGCATTAATGTCTTTTCCAATGAGACTCATCTTCTCATAATGTGAAAAAAGTACAATAGCCTCAGTTTGGTCATTTTAGCTTCTAGGGTGCGTTCAGGCTTGATTTGATTGAGAACCCAGTTATTTGTCTTTTTGGCAGTCCATAGTGTCCATAAAACTCTCTTTCAACACCACTTTTCAAAAAACTCAACTTTCTTCCTGTCAGCTTTCTTCATTGTCCAACTTTCACACTCATACATAGTAATGGGGAATGCTGTGGCATGAATTAATTTGATCTTAAGGATCTTTTCTAGTACCTCCACGGATGTCCTTCCCAGTCTCAGTCTCCTTCTGATTTCTTGGTTGCAGTCACCCTTTTGGTTAGGGTTGCCAGGTCAGATGGACCAGCGGGTGGGGAATGGAGGCGCACTTACTGGGAGTGGGGAGGGAAGAAGCTGGAAATAAACACAACATGCCTATGTCACCCGGAAGTGATGTAGGCATGTAGGGGACATTGGGGGCAATGCTCTGGTTTGTGGGCAAAGCCTCTGTGGTAGAATTAGCTTCTAACCATAGAGTTTTGTCCAAAAAAACAGAGTGTCACCCTACAATGTCACCAACGTGTCTACATCACTTCCAGGTGACATAGGCATGTCATTCTACTCCTGGCTTCTTGCCTGTTTGGGGGGTAATTTAACCCAGCAGCCAGCTGGCTGGTGGCTGGTGGTGAAGAACACCGGAAACTGGGAGACCCCCACCCACACCAGGGGATCTGGCAACCCTACGTTTTGTTGATGATGGGGACAGGGAATAAAAATCTTGAACAATTTCAATGTCTTCTTGTCAATCTTTAAAGTTGTATAATTCCCCAGTAGTCATTACTTTTGTCTTCTTGATGTTCAGCTGTAATCCTGTATTTTGAGAACTGCTAGTGAGAGAACAGCTCTGAAAGATCTTGTAACTGACCCAAGGTCACACCAGCAGCTGTATGTAGAGGAGTGGGGAATCAGACCCAGTTCTCCCAGACTGGAGTCTGCATTCCTAACCACTACACCAAACTGGCTCTGAAAACATTTACGTATTCTAAACTAATCTCATTCACACTTCTCATTCACCCAAAGTTGGCCAAACCTCTTAGATGCTTGCAAGGACTGTCCAAGCAGGCTATTTGGCAGGAAGTAGATCTCCAGCAGTTCCATCTCTGGTCCCCTGTTTTGTTTTTCATACTGATGACATTGTGGTCTCTCTGGCCTTTCTTTGCTCTGTCTTTACCTCTTTTGCCCTTCCCAGTTACTCCCTAAAACACAAGTGCACCTGGCTCTTGCTCAGCCCTTGCTCAAGTCTTTGTCACCCTTTTGCCAAGCTCCTCAGCTCTAGCTGTCTCTGCTATGCCTCTTATCTCACTGCTGTTTCAGGGTCACTTTCTTTTATTTTGCAATACTAGCTGCAGGGGGGAGGAGAGTCTTGGGTTACATGGAGAAGTCCAAGAACTTCATGTGTGTCAGATCAGAATGCAACAATTTGTTGCAGGGTGAGGGGGATGGGAGCCTTGATCTTCTGCTATACAAACACACACATTTCCCATATTTTATTTATTAAATTTGATTTACTAGGCCACCCTTCCCTACAGGTAGGGCTCAGGGCAGCTTACAACAATATTATATAGTCACATGCAACTATACTAAGGACTGATTTGAAGGTCTGCTCGCCCTACATGATTGCATTTGTCCCTTTGCTACATTGACTCCCTTTACTAATGAGCTCTGTCTCTCTTGATAACGAGAAGCAGCTGCCGCGTTTCTATCTTTCATTAGTAGTTCAAGTTTTGCAGCAAGTTTGTTGATGTTTATTTGTATATCAGATACCCTTTCCAAAATCAAAGTCACTGTTTTCGCCGTAAGATCTGCATAATTGCTAAATATTGTGCCTGTCTCTCCAGCCACTTCTTCTTCCGAGGTTTGCAACTCCAACATTTCTTTCCACCGTATTTCACAGCTAGCAGCAACAGGTGTGTCAAGAACTGGCTCCCGGCTCTCATGTCTTTCAGCCAGAGGAGCCAGAGGAGCAAAATAATTAGCAACTGGCACATTGTAGGTAAGGGACTTTTCAAAAAAATCACAAATTTTTGTTTGTTTATTTGCTGGAAATTGTAATCCATCTTCTTTCTCTGCCGCCTCTCCCTCTTCCTCTCTTTCCCTCCTTCTTTTAGTAGCTCCTGGCCTTGAAGTCATAAAATACTTGGCTTTTCACTCACTTTAGCCGAAATAGGAGCTTATCAGCACCAGGGAGGCAAGAAGCCGCACTAGGTACTGTTTAAAGCTATCACAAGTTCTCAATACGATATCCTAATCGGCTAAAAACAATTGCTGCAATTAAATATAAAAGAAAAACAGGATAAAACAGTCTCACTGTGCAGCGATAAAAAGGCCGTCCACCTCGTCCTTCTTCCAGCTTCCAAATTCAGGAGAGAACAAAACAAAAGATAAAAACAGTGGATAAAACGCGGAGCTCAGCTTCAAACGTCTGCCTCAGCCGCCATCTTGATTTTTCAACATAATCCCAGAGCATTCAAGCTGTTGTTCCCACGTGGCAAGGAAGCCCAGGAACTGCTGAGATTTTATCCCACTGAACATAATTGCCCTCCCACACACGCCTTGGGGGTTCCCCCATGGTGGACTGTTGCCCCTGTCAGGGGCATAGTTTAACCATCGTCCATACTTTCCTCTCCCTTGTAGGGAGCTGCAGTGGAACTGTGGTACAAACCACATGTTGCGTCTATCACATGATTGCCACGGGGACTTGCAGCCAGACAACAACTGTGAGTTTCCCATGGCAGCTCACTTCTGAAGCATTATGGTGGCCCAGTGCTGACTGATAGTAGGGCACAAGGGGAGAAAGGGCTTCTGCTCCCACTGTGTCATTTTCCTGACCGGAAGCAGCCTTTGGTGGCGTTATTTGCCCCTTCAGGTGGCTGAATGCTTGCGTGTACAGTCCCCGCATTGGGCAAATAACACTCTATGGGGCCATTCCAGGTCAAGAAAACATCATGGGAGGGAAGGCAGAAGCCCCTCATGCTCTTTTGGAGGGCTGTGATTGGTTGCAGACTTAAATTGTATCCTAAATTGCACGGATGCTTTCAGCCAGGTTAGGAATAATCAGGGCTCTAGTCGGGGGGGAGCTCTCAGGTACGGAGCTCCGGAAGAGAACCTCTAGGGGGCGGGGCGGTCACGTGGTGAAGCCCCGCCCCCTTCTTTACCCCGCCCTCTGCTTCGATCCTCATTCCGTTTGGGAATGAGGATGAAGCAGGAGGGTAAGTAGCCGGGCCTTCTGACACACTTCCGGTGATGTCAGGGGGTGTGGCCTTCTGTCACTTCCGGTGATGTCAGAGGGCGTGGCATATGCAAATAAGTTATGCTAATGAGTTATGCTAATGAGCTCCGGCAGCTCTTTTTCTACAACAAGACCCCTGGGAATAATTATTTCCCCCCTCTTTGCATGAACCCATATGGGATGTTGTAAAAATACATCAGAGGTTTTGGTGCTGTTACATTGTGCCAGTCTTGGGGGCAGCTGATGCCACCCAGTTCTATGCAGGCACTGGGATTACACTGATGTGGTATCAGTGAGGTTCGGCTCCAGATACAGCGGCATATCATGAAATGCTTGGAAGCACTATACAAGCTCCAAATGTTATTGTTAACAACAGATTTATTGTGACATTTCTGTTCCAGTGTGGGTTTGGTAAAACAGCGGAGCGAATGCTAGATGCAGAATGGGCCTTCATTGCCGAGTGAGGAATTTGAATGCAGCGGTTTCACAACTGAGCACAGCATGACGTCTTGACCCCACATTAGCTCCCTAATTCTTGAGTACCCAAGATGAAAACAGATTTCTGCTGGAGAATAGCTGCTATTGGCAGAGAGGGTACACAGAATTAGAGCAGGGTTTTTTTTAGGAACTAACATACTGGATAGCTAGAGAGATAGTGATAGTGCGCATGGCTAAAGGGAGGAGAGAGTGTTCTGAGAAGAAGATGGAAACAGACTAAGAATTCTGGGCTGTTTCCACCTTCTTCTTGGAATAAAGAGCTTTGGGAACTGATCTGTGTTCTCCCGGGGGCTCTGTCTGCCTTCTCTGAGCCTCTTCAGACCTGCTGCTCCTGCCACTGCAGGGCCCCAGGTAGCATGTCTCCTTGGCCTGACGCAGAGGACAACCGTGCTGCACTGCAGTTGCTTGTGCCGGCTCAGAAACTCGCAGCTTCAGAAAGTAGCTGCCATCGTTTCCATCCAGCCACTCAGATCCTGAGGGAAACTCAGGGATTTCTGGGGATGCCTGCTGACAGTAGCCAGGTGCTGTAGCCTTCATCAACCCTTTCTTGCTCATCTAGGGTAAGTTTTGCTAACCAGAGGGTGGGAGGAAGAGGAGAAAGAGGGTGTGTGTCTGTGTCTCTGTGTGTGGGCTGGAAGAGAAAAGCATACATCCCATGGGCCAGAGGGAAGGAGCTGAGAATGAAGCTCAGATTCTCCGTAAGGTGACTGTGCTAGGGGTAAGTGTGGATGGGCTGCATAACTTTGATGCAGGTGAAGGGGAAATATTTCCCATCTCTCCCCACCCCTGTCAGGATAGCCATCTCTAGAAATCTGCCATATTTAATTCTGTTCCCTTTCTCTGGGATTTGCAGGTGACTGCAATGCTGCTGTACCAGGTGAAGAACTGGAAGTCCATGTGTAAGGGACTCATCCTGGGGACTCTCTTAACCAGCTTCATGTTGCTGCTGTACTCCTACGCCATCCCACCCTTGCAAGTCAGCATGACAGAGTGAGTAAGCCTGGTGTTTATGAAAATACCTGCACGACAGATCATGGGTAAAACCACTTACTGTTTGTCTTGAAATGAGCTAATAAATCCAAATCAGTGGGCCCAATATTTAAATAAATGTATATAGAATATGTGTTTATAAATTACAAGTATTTATTACAAGATATTTAAAAAACATTTACAGGCCTTAGCTAATAGAGCCTCAATTTAGATTTAAAAAATACAGTATCTCTCAAACAAAGACCTTATGCAACCTTGACCAGATGCATTTCAGCCTTATGGCCTTCTTTGGTGGTCAAGCATAATAATTACACAATAGCTCCATACATTACAGGAATGTTACAATAATACAATACAGGTCCGAGTTGAAGTTGTGCTAAAGAAAAAAGGAGGAGAATTTTTTCCCATTATTAAACTTAGTATAATATTTATAATATTCATATTATTACATTAAAATATGTTCACAAATACCTATTTGAGATAACTTACTTTTAATCAATATCCGTGGCTTTAGGCAGAGATATGTTTAAGAGGCCTCAGCTGAAATCACCTTCTGCCCAAGTCAGGTACACGTATCCTGGATGGTAGTTCAATTGTGTACCTAAAACTTTTTTTAAAAATATCCTAGTAATAACATTTCCATAGAGAATATTCGGAAAAGTACCCAAAACACATACTTGTATTTTTGTATAATTTATGTATACTTCTATATTCATTTATTTAAATACTAGAAATAAGGCCCGTTGTGGAAATAAATACAACGAGATCTAGAAAGAGGCTCTGGGAGAGTGCTCTGGCTTTGGGCAAACAGTGTCAGCTTCCTGTGGCGACCTCAGCAGGGTATAATGACAGAGTGCACTGTTTTCTCCAGAGGGACTGATCTGTGCTACCTGAAGAGCATTTGTATTTTTGAGTTATCTGTAGCCCTCACCTGGAGAGTGGTAACAATTGTTACCCAGGCTCCACCCCTCAAATCTCCAGGAATTTCCATAGGTAAAGGTGGCAATGCACCAAACAGAGAGGGGGAAGAAGGTAAGAAGAGGGTTGGAGGGAGGGCTGCAGAAGCATATGCCGGCTTGTCTTGGTGTGCAGGCTGGAGAAGGGAGGGGGGGCTTTGAGAGCTTCTACCAGCCATCTCTATGTGCTGCTGAGAAATGCGGAGTAGGGTCTTGGACAGGTTCTCCGTGGCGTTGGGCTTGCCCCGCGGCAGGAGAAGTGGCGAGTGGATAGAGGGGCT